GCGGGCGGCGCGGGCGGCGCGGGGGGCGCGTCCTTGGGCGCCAGCTCCGGGCCCGCTCCGCCCTTGAGCGCGGCCTGCGGCACCAAGAAGCCGAGCGGCTGCGTGATGGGGTAGAGCAAGAAATGGCCCTTGCCGATCAGGGTCCGAGGCGCGCAGGGCAGCCCCGGCGCGAAGTCCAGCCCCGCGGTGGCCGCCGCGTTGGCCGGGATGGCTTTGCGGCGCGGCGGCGAGTCGGACAGCAGGCTCTCCACGCTGAACGGGCTAGCCTTGGGCGGGCCCGCCGTCGCCGCCGCCCCGGGCCCGCACGGGGCCGCGTCCTTGTCCGCGGGGCGGCCTAGCCGCGGCTGGGCGCCGGCGCCGCTTCTTTGGCTCGGGTAGAAGGCGGGGTCGCAGGTGCCGGGCGCCGGCGGCTCGCCGGGGGGAGCGGGCGCAGAGCCCGCGACGCCGGAGCCCTGCGCTCCGGGGCCCTTGGCGGCGGGCGGCGGCGGCTCAGGCGGCTCCGGAGACAGGCCCCCGCCGCCGCTGTCGCTGTCGGAGCTGGGCGCGCTGTGCAGGGACAGGCCGCCAGGCGAGTGCAGGTGGCGGCCCTGGCTCTTGAGCAGTTTCTTCTCGTGCTTGCGCTTCTTCTTCTCCATCTTCTCCAGTTCCTTGCGGGCGATCTCCTCGGGGTCCATGGGCTCCCCGCTGCACGTGGTCGGGTGCGAGTTGTGGGCCGGCCGGCCCGGGCCCTTCTTGGTGTTCTCCTTCTTCCTCCACTTGGCCCGGCGGTTTTGGAACCAGACCTAGAACAGCCGGACAGGGGGAGGGAAGGAAGGCACGATCAGGCTGGCGAGCCCTCGGCGGCGGCGGCGGGCCTCCCACGCACGCGCGCGCGCCCCGGCCGGGCCCGAGCGACCTCGGTCCAGCGGGAGCAGTCGGGGCCGGGGCCCGCTTTCCACCGGCCGGTGGATGCCGAGACTCGGCTTGCGGCTTCGGGCCAGCGTCTCGTCCAGCCGGAAGGAGCAGAGGTGGGGCTTCGCGGCCAGCTTCCTGCTCTGACTTCTCACCTCCAGCCCCGGGGAGCTGCCCCTCGCTGGGGCAAGGCCGCTGCAGCCCGCGACCCCGCACCGCCGAGAGTTCCTGGTCGGGGTTGGGGGAAGCAGGAAGAGGGCCCCCGGTTTGCCCTCGCTGACGTCTCACAGTTCTAAGAGGCCTTGCCTGGAGGTGAGCCCGAACGGCTGCGCTGGGCCGGCTGGCCTCCACACCTGCTCAAAGCCCGCATTTCAGGGTCTCCCTTGAAGGGAAATCCGAGTAGTTATTCCTCAGGAAGGGCCTGTGAAGCCGAACTTGGACGGCCCTTCAGTAACCCACCTTCCTCAGCATAGCTACACACATCCTTCTGTAAGCCGGGGACCACAGAGCCTTTCCAAGTAGTCCAGGTTAGCCTGGCCTGGGGGTGCTACAAGGTGAGCAAGCAGGCCCGAGGCTGGCCACCAGGCCTCTAGGGAGAGCAGAGACGCTTTGGACTCCTTCATGCTCTCTGCAGGCCTCGTCCGGAACAGCCAGCAAGGATTTAAAGATCACAGTGCTCCCATGATCACCCGCCACCCCCTGGCCCTAACCCTCGGAGCCCTGGGCAGGGCTGCCAGCCTCTGCAGACGGTGGCGATTTAAATGCGCTCCTGTGACAACGCGAAGTTGCACACCGGAGCAGCTCCAAGGCAGCCCGGTGGACGCAGAAGTCTCCGAGACTCAGCCCAAACAAGGGAAGCTGTAACTGCTTTCTCTTCTCTTTTACTAAACTTATTTAGGGGTGTGCGAATTCCAGGCTGCTTCATCACCAGAAATTACCATCACATTAGAGGGGAAAGTGAAAAGATTCAGATCACTTAAGCCACAGAACAAATTGGATACAGCGATTTTTAAACGGAATAGGCCAGGCCAAAGCCCAGGACCAAGCATCATTTCAGCAAAGCTACGGATGCTAAAAACAGGTATTTCGCCAGCGCCTGCCTCCACCCCAGGCACCCTCCACGACACAGAACCCAAGGCTTCTGTACTCTAGGAAAGCATCTAATTATGCAAACATTATTCTGGAATTTTCTTACACCAAATTGACACTGTATTTTTTTTTTTTTAAAGAATACTGCCTCCTGGCTCCGTGTGAAATCAAACAACGAAGAGGATTGGAGACGGAGAAATTTAATGGAGGAGGATTCTAAATTCAGACACCTTTCGAAAGAAAGAGTCCCCTCTTTTTCCAACGTGTTAACCGCCTCTTCCTCCAATGCCCCCCCCCCCAAAAAATCTGCGAGACGATGGATTAAATATGTGTTTCTCTCCTAATATTTCACAGGCCAGAGATCAAACAAACAGATCTATCTGCTTCGGGGTTGGGAGGTGGCCTCCGCTGAGAGCACCCGGGCCCAGGTCCACTTTGTCCCCCCTGGAAGGACTTCTCCGCGGCCAGCCTTCCCCCTTCCAGACCGAGCGCCGCGCAGACGCGGCCAACCTACACCCAGCTTCCCCGGGTCTCACGCAGCCGCCGCAGCGGCTACCGGGGCCGCGCCAGGATCTCTCCCAGGCCACCCGGCATCCTCGAGTTACTCACCTTCAGACGGGAAAGGAGGGCCGAGCCTCGCAATCCCCAGGCAGGCCGGCAGCGCGGAGCCCCGAGCCACCTCGGGCTGCTTAGAACAAAGGCGGCCCTGCCTGCCAGCGCCCTGCGCGCCCGGGGCGGGACAGCGGGCCGCTCGGCTCTTTACCTGCACTCGGGACTCCACGAGGTCCAGGCGCAGCGCCAGCGCCTCGCGCATGAACACGTCCGGGTAGTGGCTCTCGTTGAAGGCCTTCTCCAGCTCCTCCAGCTGCCAGCCGGTGAAGTTGGTGCGGGTGCGTCTCCGCTTGCAGCCGGGGCTCTCCTTGTCCGGATCCCCGGAGTCTGCGGGCACGCACAGGACGCTGCAGGGCTCGGCCGGCCGCCCGAGGCTCGCCCGCTCGCGCCCACCGCGGGCGCACGGAGGAGGAGCGGGGCGCTCTCCCCCGACCGGCCGGCCGGCGCTGCCCACCCGAGGCCCCCCGCCGCGTCCCCCCCCCCCCCGCGTCCCCGCCTCCAGCCTACCTGCGAGCTTGAAGGGCTGGCTGTCACCCGCCACCCCGCAGGCGGCGGGCAGCAGCGGCGTGGGGTTGACCACCGAGGCGGCGGCCGCGGCGCACGAGCTGCTGAGCAGGCCGTCGATGGAGAAGGGAACCGAGGCGGCGGCGGCGGCGGCGGCGGCGGCCGACTGCAGCTGGTGGCCGGCCAGCTCGTACACGTGGTGGTGGCCCAGCGGGTAGGGGAAGCCCACCACGCCGCCCAGCGAGCCCCCGAACTGGGCATGCGGGTGCTCCAGGAGGCGACCGTCCATCATCTCGCGCGCGGGGCCGGCGGGGCGCGGGGGCGCGGGCGGCGGCGGCGGGGACAGGGGCCCGGAGCCCTACACATGCTTCGGCCCGCGCTCCGCCGCTTTACTTTATCAACATCAAGCTCTCGATAATTAGCCGCGGCCCGGGGAATTTGGGACCAATAAGAAGCGCTAATCGGCTCTGACGTCAGAGGCGTGCTGGGTGCAAGGAAACGTTTTCCATATCGATTGCTAATTATACCTGACACGCACCTCCATAAACAGTATCAGGAGCTGTCACAACAAGACAGGGTGGGGAGGGAGGGGCGCCGCCGCGCTCGGCCGGCCGGGGCCCCCGGCGAGCCCCCCACCCCTGCCCCCGCCGCTCCCGCCCCTCGCCTCCTTCTAATAGATTTCCCTTTAAAACATTCGCCGGCGTGTTGTGGGGATTTTTCACCAGAAATGCTGTACTCTCTGAACCTTTAAAGTGATGTTGCTCCAATTACAGAGAGACATTGAGCGGCAAATAGACTGATCCAATAATGGGAGATTCATCATCCGCTCTTTCCGAAACTGTCACATTGAATTTAAAACTACAAGGGCTTCTCCACCAGCCGCCTCTCCCGGGCTGCGGGGCGGCCGCGAGCGGTGGCAGCGAGGGAGGAGGAGCAGCGGGAGGAGGAGGGGGAGGAAGAGAGGAGGAGGAAGTGTCCCAACGAACTGGAAGACCGAGAGGAAGAAAGAGGAGGAGGAAGGACAGGCCCAGGGGGGGAGAATGGAGAGGACTGAGGGAGGGGTGCAGAAAGAGAAAGGGGAAGAAGCAGAGGAGGGGCATGGAGAGGAAGGGAGGATGGAGAGAGAAGGGGAGGATGGAGGGAAGGGGAGAAGAAAGGGAGAGAAGAAAACAGGAGGAAGAAGGAGGGAAAGGACGGAGAGAGAGGGAGGAGGGAAGAGTAGAGCAAGGAGAGAAGGGAAGGATGGAGAGAAGGAAAGGATGGAGGGGAGGATGAAGAGAAGAAAAGAGGAGATGCAAGGGGGGAGAGGAGGAGGGAGGGCAGGGAGGATAAAGGGAAGGGAAGAATGAAAAGGAGGACGGAGAGGAGGCTGAGGGGATGATGGCTAGATGGAAGGAGAGCCAAGGGTGGAAAGGGAAGGGAGAAAGGAAGGAGAGGAGAGCTAGAGGGGAAGGGATCAGAGAACTTCCAGTGACTCCAACCAAATGCAGCCCCCACCTAGGAGGAGTCTAAGCTGATACCTTCCTCCTCCTCGACTGGCAGTTACCGGTGGGGGCAGGTGGGCCTCCCTAACCCCACTTAACTCTCACCCACAGGAGTCCTGGGCCCGGGCACAGAGGAGGAGGGGGGATGGAAGGAGGAAGGACCGGGGTAACTTTGGGATAGTGGCCAATGGCTCGGCCGCCCCTCAGCAACAACAAAAATAAACAGGTCTCCCTCTGAGTCAGCTCTGAAGGATGGGTGGCGCGACTCACCCATCTATTATAATTAAATTACGTTCTCAGCGCCGTGTCATTCCCTTCTCCACTGTAAAATATCGATAGGCTCAAAACTAAATCATTAGGGGACATATCCTTTAAGCAAGCGGCGAGTGTGGCTGAGCAGAGGTGGGGGCCGCCAGGATG